ATTTTCTTAATGAAGCTTTACACATTCACCAATTGTCTGGGCAGAGGTGAGGTTTTCTGAGAACTGGCCTGTAGAGGAAGATTACAATAATTAAGTGGGCATGATTCCAGCTCTTCAAGACGGATGTTGTTACAGAGGCTTCTGGTCAAAAGACATCACTCATTATGGGATGGCAGCACATGCATAGTCTCTATGGGTACCAGTTTGAGACCTGTTTGTTCCATCTGAAGGCTCGCTGCTGCTTGTAGAAGGTCATATACAGTGGCTAGAGGACGGTGGATTGCTGGAAGATAAGGAATCAGTCTGAATAGATTTCTGCCTAGGAAGAAATTGAACAGCAGTAGGTTGTGGGTATGCTTTATTAGGGGAAAACATCTGCCTTGTCATTTCCTGACCCAAGCCCAGGCACCCTTCCTGAGATACGGCTCTGGGTGCTCTGGATCAGGAAGGCTTCTGAGGGAGGGGAGGAGTGGGGGTTGGGGTCCTGTGAAGAAGAAGAGGACCCCTGGGCAATGATGTCGGCTATTGGGAGACTCAGAAAAGCGAGGGCTACCAAGAACTCCAGGAACATTGATGTGGTAGAATCTGGTGGATGGAGGACCATGACGACTGTGAGGTGGCTGAGGATTTTCTCAAAAAGCTTGGGCTGGCAGATGGTCGAGGGAGGGAATTCCAGGCCAGCTGACTGAAGGAGGGTGAAGAGACCCTACTCCCAGGAGAGTGTATTAAGGGATCTAGAGATGTGGCTTCTGGGAGCCAGACAAGTAACCAAGCAAAGCAGACTGGTGAGGGGAGGGGAACTGTCCTCCTCTGTGTTTGAGCATGGCCCCCAGATGTTGGTTTCCAAGTATGCAGCAAAGTCTTGTGAATCCCCTAGAGAAAGACCAGGTTTGAAAATACTGAGAACCACAGCTTTCTGTCAGATCTCTCTGTACATAAACAAACCAGAGAAGGTTAGATAAATAAGCATGAGAGATCCAGGGCTAGGGGCCAATCCAAGTGGTTATTTTCTGACTGATGTTTTTGGAGAGTTATGAGCTGTTAAGTGAGAATATGGACTATCTGAAACTAAAGTGGTAAGTATGTTATGCATTCCAACAAAACATTCATTAAGTATCTACACATAGCCACAGAGTGTGGGGCACTGGGGACAGACTTGGTGCCTGCCTCCAAGACGTTTGTGGGCTTGTGGAGGGGATCATCATTAAGCAAATAACTACAATATCATTCATTATAAACATGCAAGAACAAGGAAAGGAAGATTATATATAACAGGAATTTGATGGGGCCCAGGGATCAGAGTGAGTTTCTCTGAAGAGACGGCGTTTCAGGTATACACCAATGTGGGTAGGAAGAAGGACCAGGCAGGAGGCCCTGGGGAAGGAAGAAGGTTGGCTTACTGAGCAGAGAACTAGCTGTGAGAGGCAGGAAGTGGTAGAGAGCACAAGGAGAGAGCATTGTGGATCACATAGGAGAGTCTGGGCTGTATGCCAAGAGCAGAGGGAATACAGCATGTCCCTAAGCAGAGGAATGACTGAGCAGTAAGAGGGGGTAGTAGACGGGTGGTTAAGAACATCAGCTGGAACCCCTGTGTTCAAATCCCAGGTCTGCCACTTACCTGCATGACCAAGGCCAGGCTGCCTAACTTCTCTGTGCAATGATCCCATCCTTGTGAAGTGAGACCATACTAGTACTTACTCTCCTAACAGCATATTATGAGAATCCAGTGTTTAAAGTGCTTACCATATGCTAAACGAGGAGAAAGGGCTGATGTGAATGGGTTCCAGGGGAGCAAGGTCATACTGTGAACTCCCTCTAACCCTTCACTGTCTGACTAAGAGCTGCTGGCACCCAGGAAACTGTTGGCCTCGCTTACAGATACCATTTATTTGAGAACCTCTTGACCTTTGGCAAGCCGTCTGACAGCATCTCCCTCTGGCTGCAGGGGTGAACACGGGCCATGCTCACCTTACACTTGGGGCCTGGCACATGAGAGGTGCTCAGTATTCACTGGTGAAATGGGTTACGAATGAATTAATGAATGTGTGGATCTGCAGATGAATACTTACCCTAGACATAATTTATTAAATATTTGCTTTATGTCATATGCCTTTGAGCTGTGATGTTGAAGGGTACTAAACAGGGACACCCAAAAGAACAAATATGTCTTGGAAAGGGTGCTGCTAGAGTGCTTTATGGAGGCAAAGGTGATGAGGCTTTACCTCACATACGTCGGGCATGTTGCTAGGAGGGGCTATTCCTTGTAGAGGGACATGATGCTTGGAAGGGTAGAGGGTCGGTGAAGGAGAGGAAGACCAGGTGGATTGACATGGTGACTGCTGCAGTGGGCTTTAGTGTGTCAGGAGGTGTGAGGCACAGGATAGAACAGGGTTCCGATTTGTTGTTCATAGCGTTGCTATCTATGGGTCATACTTGACTTGACGGCATCTAAAAACAACATATGTCAGGTACCTTGTTAAATGCCTGACAAGAATTAATTTCGTGTCGTGCTCATGGTGATCTTGCAAGGAGGGTATGGTATGGAGGAGAGTTTAGGAATATGTCCATGGTGGAATATTCTGAGTTCTATTCCAAGGGGCACAGCTCTTGACAAGTGGATCCCATTTATAGTCCCTGCTGTCACTGTTTTGATTCAGACAATAGTGACCCTGAACTAAACTATACAGGACCCAATACAGGACAGAGCAGAACTGCTTTTCATGGACTTCCTAAGGTTGTAAATGCTTGTTGAAGCAGACTGTCTTCTTATTGTCCCTGGAGCAGCTGATTGCTGCAATCCGCAGAGCTCTCAGTTAGCTGTCCAATGCTCAGTTCACTGTGCTACCAGGACTCCCTGCTAATACCCAAAAAGAGGCCCTTGACCTGTAAGTTGGGCTCCCAGAAGGGGTAATTTTACTGGAAATCCAGCTGTACTGAACAGTTTCTCTGAAGATCTAGGTGCATCTATATTATAGTTATGTCACCTTCCTTAACAAGGCACTGGGGACCTTGGTCATTTTAGTTTTATTAAAAAGGGGAAAGTGAGTTGCAAATCAAAATAACTATGAGATATCATCTCACCCCAGTAATAATAGCAAAATTTAATAGAACAGCAAACAACAAATGCTGGCGAGGTTGTGGAGAAACTGGAACCCTTATTCACTGTTGGTGGGAGTGTAAAATGGTACAACCCCCGTGGAAGGTGGTATGGTGCTTTCTCAAAAGTTGCAAATAGAAATACTATTTGACCCAGCAATTCCACTACTGGAAATTTACCCTAAAGAAACCATAACCGCCACCCAAGCAGATATATGCACACCCATGTTTATTGTGGCTTTGTTCGCAGTAGCAAAGAGCTGGAAACAACCCAAGTGCCCATCAACAAATGAATGGATAGAGAAACTGTGGTATATTCACACAATGGAATACTATGCAGCACTAAAAACCAAGGAACTCATGAAATGCTATGCTAAGTGGATGACCCTAGAGGACATTATGCTGAGTGAAATATCTCAGTCACAAAAGGGCAAATATTGCATAGGGCCACTATTGTAAAATAGGACTGGCATTGAGGTTGAAAGAAGGCAGAGAAGGAGAGGAATGATGTATACTGCATTGCAACAGATGAGGAAAAGAACAGTTTAAAAAGGACATATATATGAATGGGTATTATTGTCATACAGGAGTCCAGAATGAAGGCGACACAGTGCAGTGGGCTTGGGGGGAGAAATTGCATAGCAATGAAAGAATTTTACTTTTCAAGGAGAACAGTGAATTGGGGGGCAGGGGGTGAGCAGGGAGAAAAGTGCAACAATGAATGACTGGAAACCCTGTCATTGTAAATTTACATTAAAATTAATAAAAACAAAACAAACCCAAAAAAAGGAGGGGGAAGTGGTATCTCTAGGGAGACATTAACTCTCCCCAGCCACCCTGAGTTCCCCTCAGGTGGTGCATCTCCTCTACAGCCTCTACCCCCATCTCTTAGGAAACAGGGCAAGCTGCTCAATTGGAAAGACATTGGGAGGACCACATTTGCTCTTCTCCCATCTGCTGTGGATCTGCTCAGAGCTCCCTCCACGCACTCCTTCCTGCAGGAGGGATGCAGGCTAGGCTGTAGGGAGGAGGCTCAGCGCGTGCTCAGCGCCGTTCCTCCTGGTGGTGCAGCAGTGCTGCAGGCCTCCCCCTTCCTGGGCAGCTTAGCTTGGCCTTCTTCTCAGGAGACTATTATTTTGGGAGAGCGCTGAGGTCAGCACTGCTGTGAGGTATAGTTGGAGGCACCTTCTGTCCTTAGCTGGCCCTCCAGGCCTGGCCTTGGGGCAGGGACTGCTCGACCCCATGAGCAAGCAGGCCTTCCCACATGAGGGTCACAGTGTTCAGTCACAGCCACGCACCTGGCTGAGTGTGAATTCCCAGAAAGCGAGAGAGGTGGGTGAGAAACTGAGGGCTAGAGAGGACAGCTGCTGTGAGGGGCCCAGCTTAGCAAACCCCTGCTCCTGGGGGACAACTAAGGCAGAGGTCTCCCAAGCTCCCCCAGCACCCAACCCCAGGATCTATGTCAGAGGTACCCAGCTTCCCAGAGGTTGCCTTAAAACAAAAGGAACAAGCTGACCCAAAGCCAACTGACCACGCCCGAGGCAAGTGCTGGGGGCAGGGCAAGAAGCTGTGCTAAGAGACTTATATAAGTGTTTCTGCTGTGCAGCCTGTGCTCTGCAAAGGCAGCCAAGACAAGATTGACAGCAAAGCCCTGCCCAGACGGGGTGGGGCCTCAGTCAGGCCTGCAAATCAAGTCCGCCTTGGAGTGGGCCCAGGTCCTTATAGGGCGTTTCTGTCCGTGTGGCAGATTAGTTACTTCAGCCCCAAGCAGCTGCTTGCCTGTATCCTGCGACTCTGCAGAGGTCTCTGTCCCACCAGACAGGGCGCCCTGGGTGAGGGGAGGTGAAAGAAGACTTTGCAAAGGGGACCCTGAGTTCTAAAGGCTGCTTCTGTTTCAGGTGCCCATGAGTTCAACAATGAAGCTGGTCACAGCAGCGCTCTTGCTGGGCTTAAGCATGATGGTCACTGATATGAGTGAAGGTTCATGCGTCCCTAACACCCTCTCCGAAGAAGATTCTCGCATGTGCAAGTAAGGAAGGGTAGCCTGGGATGGGATGCAGACTGGGCAGGTAGAAATTGGAGTTGAAATCTCCTAAAGGGAGGTATTTCCAGAACCAAGCCACATGGTTCTCTAAGCCAGCTTTGGCAGACAGGTAGAAAATGTGTCTGGAGATTGCCTTTGACTGAACATCACACAAGGAACAGTTTTGCAATGCGCACCTGCCTTCCAGGTAACAGTTCTTTTCAACCTAGAAAAACTGGGTAACAGCGAACTCTCCCTTGGACCCTCCAAATCTCAGTGACCCCCACAGGCCCAATCCCAGGGGGACCCAAGGGATAAAGGCCAGAGAGAGAGCTGTTCAGAATACTCTCTCCCCCTGTAACAAAGTGACACTTTGAACATGGAATTGGAAAGACAGTGCATACTTTCACCCTCCCCATGTGAGAGATAGCTGGTCATTCTCTGGCCATCAGCTCCAGCAATGCTTGGAGATGTAGGCCTTCTGAGGAGTGAGATCAGTCCAGAAACAGACAACAGAGTGTTAGCTTTTACCTCATACAAGGGCATTGTTTTCTCTCTATCCGTGTAATAAAGCCCAGTTTAGCTCTTTCTTTATTGACTTGAAAAGCAAGTCTTTTTTTTCTTCTATAATTATATTTTATTAATTTTCATAAACATTTACAGAGATTTTGGGTTTCCATTCATTCATTGTTGCACTATTCTCTCTACCCTCCTCCCAGTTTGTTCTTGTCCAAATGCCACAGTGCTTGTCAAAGCCAGTTCTGATTAATCTTCTTTGTCAGTGTGTCCTTTGCCATTCCCTATCACTCCTCCCTGAGAGAGACTTCACCCTGAGTCATAAGGAAAAGGGGATGGCGTATTCTCTTAGCTACTTCCTGCTGAAAAGGGACGCTGTGGGTTTCAGGGTGAAGATCTTCTCTCACTACTCTAAAGGGCCCCTTTGGCAGTAGGAAACACATAGACTATTATGGAGATTGATTTTGGAATTTAGATGCACTCTTATTGATTGTAATTGGCTGTACATGTTCATATCCTTGAAGATGTATCATGGGGGTGTTGCAACCTAGAAGACACAAATTTAACTAACAAGTTATAAGTACATGAGTCCAAAAATTATGGAAAAGTAAAAGAAAAGATTCTTTCATTGTTTTACAAACCCTCCCCCAGGTCCCCTCCACCATGTAGCCCTCGCTCTAGTCTCCTGTGATGACAGAAATACCTAGTTATATATCTCTTTTAAACAGTTTTCTCCCTCCTCTGTTTCAGTGCAGTATACATTATTGAACCCAGCTTACTCAGTCTCTCCCCAACCCCAAGGACAGTCCCATTCTACAACAGTGGCATCATGTAATATTTGTCCTTTTGTGACTGGGATATTTCACTCAGCATAATGTTCTCCAGAGTCAACCATTTTGAATAATATTGCATGAGTTCCTTGTTTTTTAATGCAGCATAGTATTCCATTGTGCAAATATACCACAGCTTCTCTAGCCATTCGTTTGTTGATGGGCACTTAGGTTGTTTCCAACTCCTTGCTATTGTGAACAAAGCTGCAATAAACATGGGTGTGCAGAAAAGCAAGTCTTGATTTGTGGCCTTCTGGGTCGTCCTCACTGCTTCCTGGTCCTCTTTGCTGCTAGCACCCTCCTGCCAGGTGGCCAAGAAGGTCAGCCCCTACTGAAACCATCTTTGAGAAATGGAGTCGAAGGAAGAGGAGCTGTCCCTGTAACTTTTGCTCTGTATTGTCTGAATTTTCATGAGCATTTCCTTTAGAGCAATAAATACATGTTCTCCCTTAAAATATTATGTAGACGAATTCTTAAAAATAGAAAAGTGACATATTTTATTCAAATCAGCACATGAGAGAAAGGAAGAAAGAAACTAGTAACAAAACCTTGAAGCAGTTCCAGCTAAAGGTGAATAAGAGATGTGTTTGTTTCTCATAGCTAGGTACTGGGTAGGCTGTGACTTTCTAGGTATTCTGTGGAGTGAAACTTTCCCCCAGAGGTAGCAAACTTTGGACAGGGACAGCCAGAAGAATGAGACTTCCAGAACACTTAATTATATTCATGGGAAACCTATACATAAGAAGATGTTGTCTGAACAGGACAAAGAAGCATAGCATGGTTTAAAATCAAGAAAGGCATGCATCGGGACTGTATCCTTTCTCCATACCCAATCAGTCTGTATGCTGAGCAAATCATTCAAGAAACTGGGCTTGAATGTGGTATCAGGATTGGAGGAAGACCACCAATCTGCCTTATGTAGATGATGCAATCTTATTTACAGAAAGTAAAGCAGACTTGAAGCACTTGTGCAGAAGATCGATATGAATTACACCTCAACATTAAGAAAACAAAAATCCTCACCATTGAATCAACATGCAACATCAAGATGGATGAAGAAAAGAATAAAGTTGTTAAGAATTTTTCTTTTACTTGGATCCACAATCAACACTCATAGTAGCAGCAGTCAAGGAATCAAGAGATGTGTTGTTGACATTGGGCAGCTCTGCTTTTAAGGACCTCTTTAAAGTGCTAACAAGCAAGAGCATCAGTTTAAAGACCAAGGTGAGCCTGTTCTAAGCCATAGTATTTTCCATTGCTTCCCATGCATCTGAGAGTTAGACAATAAGACCAAAGAATCGATATCTTTCTTCTACCATAAGAATTGTGGTATCATATGGAATGCCAAAAGAACAAACAAATCTGTCTTGAAAGAAGTGCTCTGTAGAGGCAGAGCACCAGAGTGCTCTGTAGAGGCAAGGATGATGAAATGTCATCTTACATTTTTTGGACATGTTGTCAGGAGAGACCAGACCCTAGGAAAAGACATAATTCTGGAAAAGATAGTCAGTCAAAGAGAGGAAGATCCTCTATAAGATGTATTGGTCACAGGTCATAAGAATGGCATAGGATAAGGCAAAATTTCCATCTGTTGTTCACAGGGACACTATAAGTTAAAAGCAGCTCAACAGTATCTAACAACAACACAGTAGAAAATTCAGTCCTCTAGAAAGCAAGAGAAGTCAGATGGGCCAGGGCAAAGGCATGTCAATGGCCCCTTATGGACAGCCTTCCTGCTTCTTAATGCCTAGCAAGACATACATAGAAAATTATGCTATCTACAGGTCACTGAAGGTGGCCCTAGGTAGCCCTAGGGGTAAATTGTGCTGCCAACACAAAAGCAGGTAGTTCAAATCCACCAGCTTTTCTTTTTGTTCTTTTTTTCTCTACTAGTTTATTTACAAAATTCAAATACAAATTTGAACAAATTCTTTCAATTTCCCTCACCCCCCCATCAATTTGTACAACCCAATGATTAATCCCCCCTTCCCCCTGCACACCCTCATCCCTCTGCTTCCAGCCTCTCCCACCCCTTTTGGATCTTCATGCTCATTCTACAATAATGGTTTTATACAGTATTTATCCGTATGGGACTGAGTTAGTTCACTCAGCATAATGCTCTCCAGTCCCTCTCAAGTTAGGTAATAATATATAAAGTTATTGCCCCTGCGTGCTGCATAGTATTCCATTGTGTGAATGTACCATAATTTCTCAATCCATTCATTTGTGGCTGGACATCTGGGCTGTTTCCATGTTCTTGTGATGGTGAATAATGCTGCTATGAACAGTGGTGTACAAATCTCAGTTTGTGCCTCAGTTCTCATATTCTCAAAGTATATTCCAAATAGTGGTATAGCTGGGTCATATGGAATTTCTGGATTCAGCTTTTTGAGGAAGCACCAAACTGCCTTCCAGAATGGTGGCACCATTTTACAATCCCACCAACAATGTATAAGAGTTCCTTCCTAAAAAAAAAAAAGAGTTCCTTTCTCGCCACATCCTCTCCAACATCTATTACTTGCTGCCCTGTTAAACTTTGCCACTCTTACTGGAGTGACATGGTACCTCATTATGGTTTGAATTTGTATCTTTCTTATTGCCAGTGATCTGGAGCATTTCTTCATGTGTCTGTTTGCCATTCAAATATTTACCTCTGTGAAAATTCTTTCCATGTCTTCTGCACATTTTGTAATTGGGTTATCAGTCTTTTTCTTGTGGAGGCCCAGAAGTAGTCTGTAAACTTTTGTTATAAGACTCTTGTCTGAGATGGAATTACTAAATGTTTGTTCCCAGTCTGTAGGTTTTCTTTTCACCCTGTTGTAAAAAGTTTTAGATATGCATAGAGATTTAATCTTTAGTAGGTCCCGTGCATCAATTTTATCCTCCTTAGATTGTGCGTTTCTGGTTAGAGAGGGAAATAAAAGGCATCCAGACCGGCAAAGAAATAGTTAAACTGTCGCTATATGCAGATGATATGGTAGTGTAGACAGAAAACCCCAATGACTCAACCAAAAACCTGTTAGAGTTAATAGGCCAATTTGGTAGAGTGGCAGAATATAAGATCAATATCCAAAAATCAATAGGACTCCTCTACAGTAACAAAGAGAACTCAGAGACAGAAATAAAGAAGGAATGCCATTTACAATAGCCAACCAAACTGAGATACTTGGGAATGAATCTCATTAGAGGTGCAAGAGACCTATACAAAGAAACCTATAGAGCATTTCTGAAAGACACAATAAAAGACCTAAAGAAATGGGGAAATGTGCCCTGTTCATGCATAGGAAGACTCAATATGGTGAAAATGGCAATCCTACCAAAAGCAATCTAAGTGTTCAATGCAATACCAATCCAGATACCAAATTCATTTTTCAAGATTGAAAGGAAAATTACCAAATCTATTTGGAGAGACAAGAGACCCCGAATAAGAAAAATACTTCTCAGAAACAAAAATGAGGTTGGCAGTATAGCATTCCTTGACCTCAAAACCAAAATTTCTCACCCCTGGGCTAATAGGCAATATTGTGATGAATGGAGAAAAGATTGACACTGTCAACAATTTCATCTTACTTGGATCTACAATCAACAAGCTTGGTATCAGTAGTCAGGAAATGAGCATCGTGTTGCCCTGGGAAAGTCTGTAGTCAGGGACCTCCTCAAGGTGCTGAAGAGAAGGAAGTCATGTTAAAAACTGAAGTGGGCCAGATCGATGGCATGCATGGCCTTTTCAATTACTTGCTACGCTTCTGAAAGTTGGACAGTTAATACAAATAACAGAGGAAGAAGTGAGGCCTTCGAGTTGTGGTGCTGGAGAAGAGAACTAAATATCCCATGGACAGCCATGAGAACAAACGCATAAATGTGTATCAGAGAGGGTACAGCCAGGGTCCTCCTTAGAGGGAAGGATGGTGAAACTTTGTCTCACAAACTTTGGGCATATTGTTAGGAGGAGCAAGTCCTTGGAAAAAGGCATCAAGCTCAGAACAGCTGAGGTTCAGCAAAAGTGGAGAAGATGCTCAGTGAGATGGATTGACACCGTGACTATACAGCAATGAGCACAAGTGTGTCAGAGATGAAGACGACGACACAATGCAGGGTTCAGGTCCACTGTTCATAGAGTCTCTGAGCTGTGGTCGACTTGACAGCTGACCACCAACAACAACTATTGGAGGATCTGAACCACCCGAGAGGCATGGCCTTTGGATTAGCAGGACAACGTGCTATGGACTGTACCACCAAAGCTCTCTAGCCAAGGACTAGACTAACAAACAAACACTGAGAATCAGGACTCTAGACTCAATCTCAGAATAAAAAGAACTGTCGTTGCCTAACCTTCCATTCAGTAAATTCACTCAACAGTGCTCACCTCACTGCTATCCTTTGTGACCCTGAATCCCCTCTTTGAATCCACTGACTGTTGTTAGGTGCTGTTGAGTTGACTACGACTCATGGCAACCCTATGAACAACAGCTATCCTAGTTCTGTTCTGTGCCATACTGGTCATCCCTGATATACTCAAGCCCTTAACACAGTGACTTGTTGGAGACAAGATGGATTGTCCCCTCTTTCACTACCCCTCCACATTGCCAAGCACGTCTTATAAGAACTGGCTCCTACTAACAGCATTCGCAAGGTATGTGAGATGAAGTTTCACCATCCTTGCCTCTAAGGAGAAACCTGGTTGCACTTTCTTCAAGATATGCTTGTTTATTCTCTTGGCAGTCTCATGAAATAGTCAGTACTCCTCTCCAGCCCCACAATTCAAAGGTATTGATTCTTCTTCTGTCATCCTTATTCATTGCCCAGCTTTTTCAGATACATAGCAACTAACTGAAAAAGACCATGCTTGAATCAGGCAAACCTTAGTCTTTAAATCAACAGTGTTGCTACAATGTTGCTCCTTAACACTTTGGAGAGGTCCTGGACAGCAGATTTTCCCAATGCAACACATCTTTTGATTTCTTGACTACTGGTACCAAGGGTGTTGATATCAACACCCAGATCATGGCTGATACCAAGTAAGATGAAATTATTGACAACTTCAATGTTTTCTCTATCATATTTTGGCAGCAGTTTAGGCAGGAGGGGTGTGGGTCCTGTTTAGAGGTTTGTTGTTGTTGTTGTTGCTGTTGTGTGATGTTGAGTTGGAACCAACTCATAGCTGGTGCCCCAGCAGATTTTCAGAGGCTGTAAATTGTACAGGAGGAGATTGCCCATTTTTCTCCCTTGGAGCAAATGGTGCACTCAGACTGCACAGTTGTCAGTGAAGTTTCTTACCACCAAGTCACCAGAGTGGAGAAATACACATTTCTGCAACATTTTTCTCTGCCCATACGGACACAGAGCAAATTATTACCTTTTCATGTATTAAAAAAAATTCCTGAAAAACAATGAATAATTAATAGTGTTAGAAACCCAGATCTATTTTAAAGACTTCAAGTTTGCCTAAAGCTGTAGGATTTCCCTGGTAAGTAAATGTTAAGGATGGTTAAAATGTTTTAATGTTTCCAACAAGCCAGGCGTTTTTGTAAACAATGATCATGACTTTATTTCTCCCGCCAACCTCCAGCCCAGTAAGCTCTGAACTCAATGCCATCAAGTTGGAACCAACTCATAGCTGACTTGTCAGTGATTTTCCAATGCTGTAAATTACATAAGCAGGAGTGGCATCCACTTCCTAAACAACATGCCTCCGGAAACTCCATGAACTTTAATAAATGTCAGTAGTTGTAGAGGGGCCTCAGGCTTCTTGTTCATGGGGTCGCTATGAGTGGTACTCAACTTGAAGGCACTCAACAAACCCAACAAAAACATAAGAGGAGATTGCCCATCTTTCTCCCATGGGGGCTACTTGAGGGCTTGAACCACAACAGATGTGCTGCTTTTGGGTTAACACAACTCCCTATGGACTAGACCACCAGAGCTCCCTTAAACTACTGTTGTTATTGTTGTTAGATGCCATCGAGTCCAATACGACTCATAGTGATCCTGTGAACAACGGATTTGAAACCTGCTGTATCCTGTGCCGTCATCATCGTCTCTGACACACTTGAGCCCATTACTGCAGTCATTGTGTCAATCTATCTCATTAAAGGTCTTCCTCATTCATCGACCCTTCATTTTCCAAGCCTGATGTTCCTCTCCAAGGAATAGCTTCTCCTAACAACATGCCTAGAGTATAAGGAACAAAGCTTTGTCATCCTTGCCTCTAAGGAACACTGTGGCTGAACTTCTCCAAGGCATATCTGTTTGTTCTTTGGGAAGTCCATGAGATAGTCAGTACTCTTCTCCAGCACCACAGTTCAAAGGCACACATTTTTCTCCTGTCACCCTTTAAAGTACTGTTAGTGCCCCATTTTCCAAGTAGAAAAACTGAGGCATGGAGAGGTCCAGTAACTGTTAGGCCATACAGGTCGAGTCTTGCAGACCCCAAGCTCCTCTTGAACCCCCCTCTGAGTGGCTACCCTTCTCTCTCCATAGCGGTCTTCATGTTGAATACCCCGAGCTGGGCAATATTGCCTGCTATTATATTCCTAGTTGTGACAACTACAGAGATATGATCACCATCTGGCCACAGCCGATTGTCACGTTCCCCAGAGCCAAAGAGGTGAGTGAGTGGGGTCCAGAATGAAGGGGAAGGACGGTGGGGGCTTGATGTCTCTCGGAGCATGCTTATCTGGGTAACTTGAAGCTCATGCAGTGACACCTGAGTGGGGTCTGGTGTTGCAGATCCCCGAGCTCCTGCGCCTTGGGGAGGAGACTTATGCTGAAGGGACATGGCTGGGGACACTGGTTCAGGGGCTCAGGCCTTTTCCTGCAGCCCCTCTCGTGCAGAACCTGGCTCACAGTGAAGATTGGCTGGTGTGTGCTTTCAGATTAGAGAGAAGGGGCATGGGAAGAGCCCTTCTCCAGGTGCAAGGCGACTGGGCCTTCAGACTGAGGTCCTCCTTTGAGCTGAGTTAGCAGAGGTCAGGTGGATCCTGACCCTTGGCCACTACAATTTGAGGCACGTTTTGTTTTGCCAAAGGTTTTCTAAAATAGATTGTCATTTTAGAAACTGGCGGGGGTGGCGGGGGGAATCCCTGTTGTTGATACTGGGGAATAATTAGTGCCATGTTTTTCTGGAAGCTTCTCACACCTTGTGGGGAGGGAATGGCCCCTGATAACTTGCTTTCAGATCTAGAAGGCCTGTGAGAGTGGAAAGTCGAGTCACGGCCCATGGTTTAGGGAGAGCTGCTCCAGCCTCTTGGTTGTTCTTTCCTTCTTTCTTGACTTCTAGGGCCAAACTGAGCCCCTAAACTGTTGGGATGTGGTGTGGGGGGCAGGTATGGTAGAAGATGATGTTGTCCTTGTGGTTGTTATTTTAGTCTCTCACTCATGTCAAACTGGAATTGATCCATAGCTGACACTCCAGTACGTTTTTAGAGGTTGTAAACCACCCGGGTCTGTGCATTGCTGTACAGAGGTAACTCGTGGTTGCTGTGATGCTGAACACTGTGACAATGATGTGCCAAACGTGGTAATGGGTACCCATGGTAGACAGTGTTTGCTGGAGCTTCCCGACTAAAACAAGCCTAGAAGCAGGAGTGGCATCCACTTCCGAAATGGCTTGCCTCCGGAAACTCTTCATGGGGTCACTATGAGTCGTCTACAACTTCATGGCACCAAACAACAACAACAAACCACATGGAGGAGACTGTCCATCTTTCTCCCAGGGAGCACCTGGTGGATTTGAACCAGCTACCTCTGAATGTTGTTGTTCCTGGTTTGGCTGGCGCCTTCACGGGCTCGTGGGAAGCTCTCCTTGCCAGAAGGCAGGAGCGTGGTGGTGGGGAGTGCAGGAATCGTGGCAAGCTTTGGAGTGGACTGCTTCTCCGGGAATGTGTTTGACGTGCAAGTTTGCTCTGTCCCTGGAGTGAGGCTAGCCAGCCTGGGCCTAGGGTTTGAACCAGGAGGCGGCCTAGTGGAAGGAAGCTGTGCTACCAAGCCGAAGGTGGGTGATTGTCATCTGTGGCCCTCAACCAGGTTCAAATTGTCTTCCTGTCAAAACATTCTTCTAGGTGGTATAGCACTGGTCTGTGCGTTGCTGTACAGAGGTAACTCATGGTTGCTGTGATGCTGAAGCCTGTGACAGTGATGTGCCAATTGTGGTAATGGGCACCCATGGTGGACAGTGTTGGCTGGAGCTTCCCGACTAAATCAAGCCTGGAAGCAGGAGCGGCATCCACTTCCAAAATGGCTTGCCTCTGGAAACTCTATGTACGAACAGTGCTCAGGCTGTTCGTTCATAGGGTTGCTATGAGTCGTCTACGACTCGACGGCATTAAACAACAACAACAGTCTCTGAACGGGCAGTGCAACTCTTTAGGCACTAGGTCACCAGGTGCCAGTGTCAACCTAGGTATAGGCACTGTGGTGTAGCTGGGACTTAGGTCATGAATGAGTAGGGCGAGTGTCATAGTTGAGATATAAGCAAATTTATGTGCTGATGTCACCCTTCTGATAACCCCTGGGCAGTGTGGCAGGGAAAAGCTATACTAGGTGCTTATTCTTGGTCTAGCCTCTGGATCTTGCCCTACTTGGGGGCACAGACCTAGGATTCCATCAGCCTAGAGTGCTGGCCCCCCTTCCACAGCCAGGCCTGACATAAGCAGTCAGTTTAAACATAGGAAGGTGGGAGATTAAGACAGTCTAGTGATTAATGTGTGTAACAGATTAGTTGGATATTTTCACTGTTGGATTCTGTCAAGTCAACTCCAACTCAGAGATCCTATGTACAACAGACAGAACCGTGCTCGGTCCTGTGCCATCCTCACAATGCCTGCTGTACCCAAGCCCATTGTCACAGTCACTGTGACAATCTATCTCATTGAAGATCTTCTTCTCCTTGAAGACCCACTACTTTTCCAGGCATGATGTCCTCCTCTAAAGACTGGACCCTCCTGACAACATGCCCAAAGTACTTGAGACGATGTTTCAACATCCTTTCCTCTAAGGAGTTCTCTGGCTGCACCTCTTTCAAGACAGATTTGCTTGGTCTTTTTGACAGTCCTTGGGGTATTCAATACTCTTTGCCAACACCACACTCAAAGGTATCAATTCTTCTATGGTCTTTCTTGCTCATTGTCTAACTTACACATGCATGTAAAATTGGATATAGACGAAAGGATTTTCATTTCTTTCTTTAGCTGTTTCCCCCACTTTCAGAGAAGAAGTGGATTGTGCTGTGTCCCAGAATGTATGTCATTAACTTTATGACATTTTGATGGGTTATCATGTTGGCAGCAGCGGTTAACCTCCTCTCTCCCCCTGCCACAACACGCTCACATGCAAGCACACTCAAACGTACACACACACATCCACGTCAGCCTTTCTCCCTGATACCCTCAGTCTGGGTCACACACAAGACAGCTAAGAAGAACAGAGTAAATGGAAGCAGCTTGGACTACTGCTTTGAGGGTAGAAGGTGGAGGGCTGCAGAAGCCAGTGGGAACCCAAACCCTTAGGTAAAGAGTACTTGCTACATTTGTGGTTTGAGCTCTCTACTTGACCATTAATTCACTTGCCCTCAGTTATTTAATTTTTAGAATGAGGAGGAGGGGACCAGATGCTTTCAGTCCAATGACTCTTCCAAGGGGAAAAAAGTTTCTAAACAAGGAACTCATGCAATATTATTAAAAATGGGTGACCCTGGGGGACATTATGCTGGGTGAACTATCTCAGTCACAAAAGGACAAATATTATATGGTGCCACTGTTGTAGAATGAGGCTGACATTGGGGTGGGGGTAAGACTAAGAAAAACTGGATAAATTATGTATACTGCATTGAAGCCGATGAGGGAGAGAATGGTTTAAAATTAATATATTTTAGGGTATTATGGTTATCATAAGAGTCCGGAATGAGGGTTGCAGAGTGGAGTATGGTTGGGGTGGGGGTGAGGATGTGCGGTGTGGGGGTGAGGGATTGTGTACCAATGAAGGAGTTTGTCTTTTGCTTTTCATGGAGAGGAGCGAACTGGGGGTGGGGGTGGGGGAGAAAAGTGCAACAATGAATGAATGGAATCCCAAAATCTCTGTAGATGTTCATTGAAATTAATAATAATTTTTTTAAAAGGCTCCTGATATTGCTGCAGATGCTCACTAGATGGCAGTGTAGACTTCTCCAAGGACATCGAGTTCTTTCGCATTTTCCAGCTTGTTTGAAGCAAGTTCTGAAAGAAGTTTTCAACTTTGGTTCCATTTCCTTGATTCTGACTGTCCTCGGGTATTTGGACATAACACAGAAACTATATCATCCCTATTATGTCCTGAAATACTTTTAAAACTTACCCAGTGTTTCTCAGCTCAGGGATGAGGGATGAGTGGAAGAGAAAAAGGGGCTGGACCTTGAAGACTTACGAAGGACAGTACTTACGAAGAGCTGTGGTCAGAAAGTCAAGGAGGGCAGAGACATATTTGGTCAGCAGTAGTAGAACTAAAGAGAAAGTAGCAGAATTGTAGTCTATGGGAGCAGGCTCCGGTAGCCAAAAGGCCACGCCTCTCTAGTGGTTAGACTCAGGAGAAAGAGAGTCTCTTCCCGTGAGATTTGCAGCCGCCCTGCAGCAGGGTCAGCTGTGAGACAATGCGATGATGATAATGATGATGATGATGGTCTACAGGAATTCACCTGACCTTCGAGAAGGCAGATTCCATTGAGACTTAAACAAATTTGTTGTTGTGATTTAGGTGAAAGTTACAGAGCACATTTGTTTTCCTTCCACTACTCTTTGTGCATTTTCTTTTGTGACTTTGATTGCAATCCCCATAATGTCACAGCCCTCATCCTATTTCCTCCTTGTGTTGACTATGTCTATTAGCTCCTCTTTCCTATGCTTCCTTGTCTCCTGAGCTTGATCCTTGGGAAGACACTGTCCACTTGACCTCACATGGTTAGTTATTCTAAGGAGTTGGGTTCATCTCTGGTGTTAATGTTCACCTTATAAGCCTGTGTATTGTTTACACTAAGCAGGTTTTCAAGGTTCATTTATTAGATACTTCGGAACTTAATTCTTCTTTATGGTTGAGCAGTCTGTGCATTCTGTGAACACACCACACTTTGTTTATTCATTCATCTGTTGATGGGCATTTTGGTTGTTTCCACCTTTTGGCTATTGCAAAGAGTGCTACAGTGAGCATCTCTATAGAGATGTCTGTTTGTATTCCTGATTTATTTATTTATTTTTTTGGGGGGGGAAGGTTGTTGAGGTTTTTTTGCCAATTTTTGTTGGTTTTGAAAAAAATACATGTAGCACAACATTTGCTGGTTTAACATCTTTTCAGTTGTACAATTTAGTGATATCAAGTTACATTATCAGTTGGAGTTCTTAAAAGCAACCATTTGTTAAGTGACATTTTATCCTGGCTACTATTCATGTGTCATATTTAATTTTATCATCAAATCTGAGAGCTAAGTATTTTGTTACTTGGGACTCTCTTAATGACAAGTGACTAAAAGCGAACTCAAACTGTCTTAAGCCAAAGAAGAAGACAGGGGGAGAGTTATTGACTTACTAAACTGAAAAACCTAGGGATGACTTCAGGCATGGCTGGATCCAGGTGCCCAAACAA